TTTTTCTTGTTGTTCACCTTCCTTGCCAGCGGGACCTTGTCGCTCTCAACCCTTCCCAACTGACTGATGTGATCTGCACCTACCCGAGGTCAATCTCTCTCGATCCTCCATCCTACCTCTCAGTTTTCTCCTTCTCCCTCCCCCTCCCCTCTCCCTCTCCCTCTCCTCTCCCTCCCCCTCTCCCTCTCCCTCTCCCTCTCCCTCTCCCTCTCCCTCTCCCTCTCCCTCTCCCTCTCCCTCTCCTCTCCCTCTCCCTCTCCCTCTCCCTCTCCTCTCCTCTCCTCTCCCTCTCCCTCTCCTCTTCCCCTCACCCTCTACTACTCCTTCACCTCACCTCCGCTTTCCTTCCCTCTCCCTCCCCTCTGCTTCTTCTTCCTCCCCCCTGCCCTGTTCCCCTCTCTTCATCTTCCTCTTCCTTCCTCTACGTCCTCTGCTCCACTTCTGACTCGTCATGTCGCTCACTGTCGTTTCTCAGACGAGCTCTATTGGGGAGAACCTAGTGGAGCACATCAGCACTGAAGAGGCAAACGCTCCACCTGCTCATCATCATCATCATCATCATCATCATCATCATCATCATCATCATCATTGTCATCATCATCTCCATCATCATTATCATCTATCATTATCATCATCTCCATCATCATCATCATCATCATCATCATCATCATCATTGTCATCATCATCTCCATCATCATCATCATCATCATCATCATCATCATCATCATCATCATCATCATCATCATCATCATCATCATCATCATCATCATCATCATCATCATCATCATCATCATCACACACTTCTCTTCTCTGCTCCCTTCTCGTACTCCTTTGCCGTCACCTCTGATCGTCCTCTAGGCAAAGAAGCTGTTGGGTGCCATGCTCAAGAATCTCTTCGAGCAGGAGATGTTCAGTGACGAGTTCTGGGAGAGGTTCCTTCCTAAGGTGAATGCTCCTCCTCCCCTTCACTTCCTTCTCCAGCTTTTGCTTTCTTGCTGTTGCCTTGCTCCTGTTCACATCCTCCCTTCTGCCCTCCCTCCCTCCCTCCCTCCCCTCCCTCCCTCCCTCCCTCCTCTCCCTCCCTTCCTCCCTCCCTCCCTCCCTCCCTCCC